AACAACAACCAAAAATAAACCGACGCAGTAAAAGTTCTATAAACAATCCAATCCAAAACTATTTCAATTAATATACATATGAAAGGTTAGTGATCAGCGTGCCGATATGTGGATTTGAGGTTCTATGAATCACGACCCGTTACCGCCAAAAAATTTTAAAAATTGGCGGTGACTGGTGGCATTTTCACTAACGTATCACTTCAAAATTAGGGACGGCTAGCACTGATAAACCCCATCGAGTAGCTTTGCGCGAAATTCAAATCTTCAAGTATTCACAAAAATGGAAAAGATAAACTGGAAACTGAACGTCGTTTCAACATTTATGAGAACTTATTTTTATCTCTACCCCAGCTTACAATCTGCTCTAACTTATTCTTCCATAACTGGAAAACCTTGCATCTTTGTTTGAACTTATTTTTATCTCTACCCCAGCTTACGAGTGATAGTAAATTGGCCTGGCATGGCCAGGTGGTTAGGGAGCTCGACTCGCAGTCTGAGGGTCGCGGGTTCGAATCCCCGTCCCACCAAACATGCTTCCCCTTTCAGCCGTGGGGCGTTATAAAGTCAATCCACTATTCATTGGTAAAAGAGTAACCCAAGAGTTGGCGGTGGGTGGTGATGATTAGCTGTTTTCCCTCTAGTCTTACACTACTAAATTAGGGACGGCTAGCGCAGATAGCCCTTGTGTAGCTTTGCGCGAAATTCAAAAACAAACACACAAACAGTAAATCCTGCTATTCGCTTGAAATGAGCCGCATCAGGTGCTACCGGTTGATTGCATTGTCTTGATTCACTGTTCAAAATAAGAAATTGTTATACCTGAAACATGGGGGCGTCTCAGATCTAGTCGTTTAGCCCCAAGTGAAAACGCAAAAAATAAACAAATTTGCGTATACTCTCCTTTCTAATCAACCAAAAAGATAAGTTGCATTTGATGTTGTTCATTAGTGGTTTAAATTATGTATTGCGGTTGTTGAGACAATAGACAAATCAGGTATGATCAGCGGGCAAAATGAAGATCGTTAATAAAACTTCATAAGATCTGGTATCTTTTTGATTTACAGAATTTCTGTTGTTTTTACTTTTTTCACCAGAAATAAAGTATCATCCATGGATGAAAATACTTCCCTCTTAAGCCCTTCTTCTAACGACATCAAAAGGAGACTAAAAGCCAAAAGTGTGAAACTTCGCCGAGTGATCGTTTTAGCCGCAACGACGTAAGTTTATCAAAACTTTGGATCTCGTAATTTTCTGTTTAGATTCGTTTTAACCGATTTTTGGTAAGAAGACTATGTTAAATATTTATTTAATTTTAGTTTTAAGTCATTCTTCTGGGTTAAATCTATTTCGGGAACAACGCCCTAAATTACTAACCCTAAACTAGGCCAAACAAAACAGTTTGTTTAAAACTTTATATAATGATCTCCATTTAACTTCTGTTAGTGTCTTAAATCCATTTTACTTATTATTACACCCTATACAGAGGTTGAATACGTAATACCAAAACGCCCTCAAGTGGCACAGCGGTATGTCTGCGGACTTACAGCGCTAGAAACCAGTTTTCGATACCCGTGGTGGGCAGAGTACAGATAGCCCCTTGTGTAGCTTTGTGCTTAGCTTCAAAACAAACAAACAAGTAATACCAAAACAAGTTTGAGGCTTCACCACGTCTTTACAGTTGATGTCGTCACATCTGGTCATGTTGTATCTGACGGCCTTGCACTTTGAAAATAGCCCTGTAATATAGTTTCCATTGCGAAACGTTTCATCGTACGGTTGTCATTTCAAAAACACGCTACTACCCCTTGCATGCTTTCCATAGTCTATGTATTGTACGTTGACGACGGTTTCCCAGTGTCCGTTCTTACAGTCCATTTACTCAAAAAAAGCGTAGGCGCTGCGTCTGACAAGTTGGCTGATATGTCTTCAAATTGAATAGCATGACTACCTATTCCATTCTCCATTTGCTTGAAGTATGTGTCGAGTAAACTATGCTGTGGAAACAACTTGCACATACATTACTTGTGTTGTTTTTCCAGGCAAATATCCTTTTGATTATGTGGACAGCTTTAGCCACTGACCTTTGTGTTCGTGGATTCTCACCTGTTACAAGACGCCACACTCTGCTTAATATGGCTGAGGTACGACTTGTTGCAGGTCTCTTGCTGGATGATCTTTTGTTTTCCAATGCCATTAAGTACAAGAATAATCACTGTCTTGGGAATTTTTAATCCTCGATCTGAACGCATTTTTATGATCTGAGTATATTAATAGCTTGCGTCAGAAAAGGCTGTTACATAACCTTCTCAAAAGCATTAAAATTTCGATATCATCATACTACTTACGAAATGCCAAAAAAAGTCAAAATGTAGTTCTGATGTATGCTGTTACACTGGGACTTTTTTCTGTTCTGGTTGTCACGTGACTTGCTGATTTCGTGTTCATAATTATTTTAATACAACGCAATAAACCTTCTGCATAGTACAGAGATATGGTAATAAACCTTCTGTATAGTGCAGAGATGTGATAATAAACCTTCTGTATAGTGCAGAGATGTGGTAATAAACCTTCTGTATAGTGCAGAGATGTGATAATAAACCTTCTGTATAGTACAGAGATGTGGTAATAAACCTTCTGTATAGTGCAGAGATGTGGTAATAAACCTTCTGTATAGTGCAGAGATGTGGTAATATACCTTCTGCATAGTACAGAGATGTAGTAATAAACCTTCTGTATAGTGCAGAGATGTGGCAATGAACCCCCTGTATAATGCAGAGATGTAGCAATGAACCCCCTGTATAGTGCAGAGATGTGGCACTCGTGTACATTGATTTCCGACAGGCATTTCAGGAATAGGATCAAATAAGCATAAGCCTCCACTGCAAATGTGTTTTAGCATATAACTTCTGTCTAAGTTAGAGGATCACCGCGAGTTTACGAACTTTCACATGCTGTTTACGAGGACTAACTAAATATAGAAATCTGCATAACGATTTTTAAAATTTCACCTAAACAAAGATGCAAGGTTTTCCAGTTATGGAAGAATGAGCTATAGCAAATTGTAAGCTGGAGTAGAGATAAAAATAAGTTCAAACAAAGATGCAAGGTTTTCCAGTTATGGAAGAATGAGCTATAGCAGATTGTATAACACCCACAACTAAAAGTGTGAAGTGTGTTTAGTAGCACCAAGTTTTGAAGCCGCGATCATCGGATTCCCAGTCCGGTAAGCTCGGTCAAATCACACTGTTTAGCCAGACCAATGTAGTCCAAGAGTTGGCGGTGGGTGATGTTGACTAGTTGCCTTCCCTCTACTCTTTATCAGTTTAAAATACGGAGCGGCTATACACACGTAGTCCTTGTATAGCTTTGTACGAAATTTCAAAAAATATATTTGTTTTGTTTCCATATAAAGCAGCGAACAAATTTTCGAATTTACAGAAGCAAATATTGGACTTTGTTATAAAGTAGTGGCAATAGTCATACGATGCCTAGAACCCTAATCTAATCCTAGAATTACCGAAGTGGTTCCATATGAACATCATCAGCCTTTTTAAGCACATATTTTTTTAACTAGTGCTGTATCAATTCGCCTGTGGATCAACGAATTTGTTGGTTACAGGGTCGCTAATCTAACCTATATTTGTTTGTTTATAATTAAGCACAAAGCTACACAATTGATTATCTGTGTTCTCCCACCACGGGTATCGAAACCCGGATTCTAGCGTTGTAAGTCCGTAGACATTCCGCTGTGCCATTGGGGGGCGAGCACTAACCTAGATAAATGTCAGTGTTTCACGTCACGTCGCGCTTGATTTCTCGAAATAGGAGGAGTCATAAAAGCCAAAATGCATTTATCTAGACAGAATAGTTCGTGAGGGGGGATGTCCCATGAAACCTCATAACTGTATTGAGTGTTGATATAATAAGCCTAAAGTAAAGACGTAGAGCGGGATCACCTAGCCTAGAGCCAAGTGCATAAAATTTATCAT